TAATACCCATCATCCACAAAACACAATTCAATATTTAAAAATTTCCAGACAAAAATTAACAATTAACATTGATAAATGCCTGTGACTTATTTTCATGAAGTTGAGGACAGTAATTGGATTTAATTTGGAATTACCTTGAACAGGGTACTGATTTGAATTTATGAGCTAGAGCTGCACAAAAGAAAATCAATAACTGCAAAACACGCATCAGTTTTGAATGCATTAGAACGACGCTACTATCTGACTATGGCAAAAGTTATTAAGTGTTTTTGTAAAAAATCCTCAAAAGAGGGACAAAATTGCAATTTTAAATGACTGTGAAGGTAGCCTCATATTGATCCAAATTTGAACAAAGGCCTCGTGATCCAAATTTGGATAAAAAGCAACACGAGCCCTGTGGGCTTCATGATCCATATTTGGATAAAAGCAATACGAGCTGTGTGTGCTTCATAATAGTCACTTGGCAAGATATGTACCGGCATTTCATAAGAGACAGCTACGGTACTAAGGGTGGTACTGAGAAGTAGCTCATGAAGAACTTTCCTTCTGCAAAATAAGACATTTTTTTCTTCTGCAAAATAAGACATCTTCACTTCTTCAAAAATGTTCGGCAACAACTTCAAAATCTTCTTGTGCTGGTTTTCGATACAAGGGATTGTTGTTATCACCATTGATGCAATCTGCCAAACCTGTCCGAAAGAATGGACACAGTATGGTCAGTCCTGCTACATGGTTCCTTCTCCCAAACACAGGCGAACCACCTGGTCTAACAGCATACAGAAGTGTCGTAGTCTCGGCAGTGGGCTGGTGGTGCCTAACAGCAAGGAGGAAAATGACTTCATCTCGATGATGCGCCAGTCGGAAGTGGATGGGGAGGGAGCCAAACACATCTGGCTCGGCTGTCTGAAAGGGGCAGGCCAAGGCTGGCAGTGCGGAGGGGATGATGGGTGGGATGTCCAGGCAGCTGATGGCAACACCAGGTGTGCGATCCACAACCGTGATTTGGGGATTAAGTGGAAGATGGAAGACTGCAATGGGCGGAGACACATCCTGTGCGAGCGGCGCTTGGAGGCATGCACCCCATCTCTGCACTGCACTGCCGTCAACAGCGTCAATGCCGACCAACACCAACCTAGATGTCTGTTGGGCCACGCCTACAAGGAAATGCAGCTGTCACACCCGCTGATGTGCTGCGTCGCCTGCTACAAGGATCCCGACTGTCGCTCCTTCAATCTGCTGGGGCAAAGCTGCCAACTCAACAACGCCACCGCGTCCCAGGTTGATGACGGCAAGTTTTGGGCAAATTTGGAGGACTGCATGTACTATGAATTCTGAGTCAAGCTATGCTAACCGACAGAAAAGTGTAACAGACATTGGCAGAGTATGAAACCTTGAATTGAACAGCCAAACGTCACATGAATATGGACTTGCCCCCCCCCTAAAACATACCTTTAGTTTTATCAGCGCATTGTAAAAAAAAACCTCTCAGAACAAATCCTTGATTGAGATGAAATGATGCAAAAATTGTGTTACTGTTGAAACTTCATGACTACACTTTGTAAAGTAGCTTTCAATGTTATTGACGCAACTGCATTTAGCCCGCACACTACATGCACAGGAACAATAAAACGCATGTATGCTATTAACGACTTCAAACAGAAATGTACAAGAAATTAACCATGGACGTGGACTGTAAAATAGAATCGGGTAAAAGTGTACATTTATGAACTCAATCACCTCAAGAACACAATTCAGTAAGTACATTCATGATCTTTTTATTTTAATGAAAAGAACCTTTCTGCTTGTACATTGAGCATGCTTTCATTATCTTGTTGTCTTTGTGAGAATGAATGTGTACATTGTAGTTATTCTTTAAAAAGATTTAGGTGAAAAGTTATAGTCGTACATGTAGATTCAAGTGATCATTATGAGCAAAAAGTATCAGGGTGATTCCAGCATCACTCGCATTACACTTATTTGCATCCTTTTACAATCTTAGTTGTGTACTTTTTGCAATAAATTAAAATACTCTTTCATTTTTGCTATGGAAATACTCAATATATAAGACATTAACCCTATCCAGTAAGAAAATTAAATGATACTAAATATGAGCATGGCACCGTTGGACAAAACCGCCACTCACATTTCGTGAAATGGACGAGCCAAAAATTATTTTGGTTTTAATTGAAAAGTTTCCTCAAACCAAATGTCCCACAACCAAATGGTAATAAGATACCGATACCTACCATACTTAAAGGGAAAATACAACATTTGCAAACATCAAAATATAAAACTACCAAATCATTTTGAAATACCTTGCTGGACTGTTAGTGAATGACAGTGTAAAGCATCCTGTAAAATCATGGCACCTGGTATACTGTCATTTTCTAGAAAAGTGGTATTTTTGTATCAATTTCCAACGCTGATCGGCCGATCAGCGTTGGAAACAACTAGCTTTTTTTCAAATACTGGCCCCAATTGACCATCGCACTTGTTTGTAATCGATTACAAACCTATGAACGGATACGAGCCAGCTAGACTGGTTCCCTGACCTTACAAATCCCCAATGTATGTAAACTGCTCTGTTTTTACTTATATGGAGTCAGGGAACCAGACTACAGGAAAATGATCGTTTTTTCTTGGTTTTTATAGCATTTTTGAACCCAAAACCTCACAAAAGTCAGTGTAACTATATTTGCTATATACATGTATTTCCAACCCCCCAATTCCATCCATTTCTGAAAATTACAGCAAAAGCAAATGATGTATATTCCCCCTAAGTATAAATGAGGGTAACAAATATCTTCAACAACTAACTGTATATGTACATGTAAGTTAGAGGGGAAAAGCGTCGTCACTCTTAGTGCCGTCACTTGCATTTCAGTTTGTCCATTCATTAAGTTGTGAACAAAATGCAGCTTTTCCTCCACAATTCTTATCAAGTCTTGGCTATGTCTTGTCAAACAACCTTTATGAACCTTTTTGAGTGTGCCCAAAATACTAATTACAATGAATAAAAAAAAGTATTTTTAAGGGAATGTACATCATTGGCTTTTGCTGTAATTTTCAAAAATGAACTATTTGAGGGGATAGTATAATACATGTGTTACACTGACATGTTTGAAGTTTTGTGTTCGGAAATGCTGGAAAAGCCAAGAAAAACAAAAATGTTCAAGTAGTCTGGTTCCCTGACTCCACTAAAGATGAAATGGATCAATTTATAGATGCCGGAAAATTGTAAGGTAAGGGAACCAGTCCAGCTGGCCTGCACCTGTTCATGAACATGTAACCAATAGCAAACACAATTTTAACTGAAAAAAAGTGGTAAATTTGGAGCAGTAGTTGAAAAATAGTTGGGTTTTTCCAACGGTGGTCGGCCGACCACGGTTGGAAATTTATACAAAAATACTATTTTCTTGAAAATGACTTCACACCAGGTGCCATAATTTTACAGGATGCTTTAGACTGTCATTAACCAAATCCTAGTAAGGTTTTTCGTAAAAACTTGGTGGTTCTATTTGTTGATGTTTGCAAATGTTGTATATTCCCTTTAAGTTAGAGAGGAAAAGTGCCGTCACTCGCATAAATTTCTGTCACTTGCATTTAAGTTTGTCTGTTAATTAAGTTGTGAACAAAATGAAGCTTTTCCTCCAAAATTCTTATCAAGTCTTGGCTAAGTCTTTTTAAACAACCTTTACATATAAAGGTTGTTTGAAAAGACTCAAAATATTAATTACAATAAAAAAGAAGTATTTTGTGAAATGTTTACATAAATGTACTGTAATTTAATAATCCGCAGCCGCAAAGGCACTAGCTCTCTTGTTTCTGCAATCCTATACTTAAGTCAGTAAGTTGTTAAAGAATAAATTGTGTTCATCCATTCATGTACTATTTGAATTAACTTACAACCTTAGCAGCAGGAGCATGAATTATTTCACCAAATAGACTTTCAACTATTAACCAACAAGTTTTATACGTGTAGGTTCAGACTGTTCAATAAAATCAAACTCGGAACTGTTCTTATCGAGGTGCAATGCATCATGGGTACCACAAATGATGGCGGCCTTCTATAGGCCTAAGACAATAGGCATACATGTATGTAGTGCATGTACATGCACTTCCCTCAATATTACCATTTAAGAGCTTCTCTGTCTGCATTCTTATAATAGAAAGTGGTATCATCTGTCGCATTTCATTTGTCACTCGCATTTCATTTGTCAATCGCATTTCAAATTTCAAGGGCTCTCTATTTTAATGTGCTGGGTTTTTGGTTTAAAGATATAGTCCATCATTTGTAATTTGTGCATTTTTTCGTCTGGAGCAACAAAAGTGTTCAAAATCTAATGAAGGATACTGAACAACTAACCTGATGAATTTTCAGCTCAGCTTCAGCTGTATATTCCGAGAAAAACAGCATTCTAAGATCTCAATTTCAAATCAAAAGTTGCTGAATCATGTTTTAAATTGTTTTGAATTGCAGCTATACGCGATGTTGCGCACTACCGCGCGCGCCTGTGCATCGTGCCAATGCTTGTGCGCGCTGTGCCGAATAACAAAACGAACTACTAATTTAAATTTTCCTAAGGTGCGTCTTAAGACGCACCATTGGAAAGGCCTTCTTTCGTTGATTACTTCAAAATGATAGCTTGCCAGAAAGATTAATTTCACAGGGAGTTTAGTCCACTTACTCTCTTTCACCCAAGTATGTTTTTCAACAATAATACGCCAGTTACTTTTTCGGATGGCTGCAAATGATGGACTCCGGCTTTAATATTTTGCATCAGTAATGCCACAGCAAAGATTGGGAACGACATGTGATAGATTATTTATTTTCTTATTTCTTCAACAAAATTTCTTAAAATTAAAGTTATGAATTCCACAATATTTGTATCGATGTTTCTGGCCTCAGCCAACTTGGAAGTCCACATATAGAATTAAAAAATTAGACTCCTGCAGTTGGCATGAAATATGATTGAAACTCTTTCAAAGAAATTTTTTACCTTGCTTGGATCTGACTGGAGAATGCTGTGTTGGATGAGCTGTATTCGGTCCATGTTGGTCACAAAACAGGTTCTCACTGGAAAACAAAATGTGCAAACAAGATAAGCCAAGCCTAGTAAAGCTGATCCCACATCACTCCAAATTCTTTTCAATTGATTCAGAATTACTATTCTCTGGAAATTTTTCTTGCATGTGGTCTACACAATGTGTCTATTAACCTTAACCGCCCTAGTCTTTTATGCGCGAACAGATTTGCTGATTAATTAGGGAAGACCCCGCCTCTTGACTTCCTGGATTTTGACCAATCAGCAGGCGCTTTCTATAGGTCTATCGGGTCTTCGGTCATTCAACCGTTGCGCATCATAGACATGGATTTAAAAAAAAAAATGTCACAGCACACGGCGCTCGGTATCATGTTACGCATAGCCGGGGGGGCTATTGTATCACAAAACGCTGCATTCGGATTGACCAATCAAGGCGCGCGGCGCTCGGTATCATGTTACGTGAATGCGCTCCCAGCTGTTGTTGTATTACAAAACACTGCATTCGAATTGACCAATCACAGCGTTAGTCCTGATTTTGGGATGAAATGACATCACGATTTAGAAAAGTCGACTTCGATTGGCTGGCGCGCGGCTTGCATAAATCTGCATGCTTTGACATACACGTTAGACAGGAGATGGCTCTGTGGATAACGGGTGATACTCAGACTAAACCGCCCTCAATCCTTCAAAATCCTCTTTGCCAAAGTGGAGGAATTTGGTGGATGGAGGTTACATGGCAAAAGTGCGTAACTGATTTCATAGGATAGTTCTTAAGTCTTGAGATGTATCATTGGAAAGGCCTTCTTTCGTTGATTTCTTCAAAATAACAGTGTGCCAGAAAGAATAATTTCCCTTATCATCTTTCAACCAAGTATGTTTTTCAATAATAATTACGTCACTTACTTTTTGGATAGCTGCCAATGATGGACTGTAGCTTTAAAGCTCATTTCGGGGTGACAGGTCACAAATATTTCCTCCTTAATATTTCCCCCTAAGCCAGTCAATAGTCTGCTATTACCCACCTTTGATGTCCTCTAGTGTCTCCTCAGGGATGGTGCTCATGACTGAAGATAAAGGCCTCTCTCCATTCCCCTCACCCTTCACCACTCCTTCTTCCAACAGTCTCACTTGCAAATTGCTAAATATTTCCCCCTAAACCAGTCAATAGTCTGCTATTACCCACCTTTGATGTCCTCTAGTGTCTCCTCAGGGATGGTGCTCATGACTGACGATAGGGGTCTCTCTCCATTCCCCTCACCCTTCACCACTCCTTCTTCCAACAGTCTCACTTGCAAATTGCTAAATATTTCCCCCTAAGCCAGTCAATAGTCTGCTATTACCCACCTTTGATGTCCTCTAGTGTCTCCTCAGGGATGGTGCTCATGATTGACGATAGGGGTCTCTCTCCATTCCCCTCACCCTTCACCACTCCTTCTTCCAACAGTCTCACTTGCAAATTGCTAAATATTTCCCCCTAAGCCAGTCAATAGTCTGCTATTACCCACCTTTGATGTCCTCTAGTGTCTCCTCGGGGATGGTGCTCATGACTGACGATAGGGGTCTCTCTCCATTCCCCTCACCCTTCACCACTCCTTCTTCCAACAGTCTCACTTGCAAATTGCTAAATATTTCCCCCTAAGCCAGTCAATAGTCTGCTATTACCCACCTTTGATGTCCTCTAGTGTCTCCTCAGGGATGGTGCTCATGACTGACAATAGGGGTCTCTCTCCATTCCCCTCGCCCTTCACCACTCCTTCTTTCACGAGTCTCACTTGCAAATTGCTAAATATTTCCCCCTAAGCCAGTCAATAGTCTGCTATTACCCACCTTTGATGTCCTCTAGTGTCTCCTCAGGGATGGTGCTCATGACTGACGATAGGGGTCTTTCTCCATTCACATCACCCTTCACCACTCCTTCTTCCAACAGTCTCACTTGCATATTGCTAAATACTTCCCCCTAAGCCAGTCAATAGTCTGCTATTACCCACCTTTGATGTCCTCTAGTGTCTCCTCAGGGATGGTGCTCATGACTGACGATAGGGGTCTCTCTCCATTCCCCTCACCCTTCACTACTCCTTCTTCCAACAGTCTCACTTGCAAATTGCTAAATATTTCCCCCTTAGCCAGTCAATAGTCTGCTTTTACCCACCTTTGATGTCCTCTAGTGTCTCCTCATCAGGGATGGTGCTCATGACTGACGATAGGGGTCTCTCTCCATTCCCCTCACCCTTCACCACTCCTTCTTCCAACAGTCTCACTTGCATATTGCTAAATATTTCCCCCTAAGCCAGTCAATAGTCTGCTATTACCCACCTTTGATGTCCTCTAGTGTCTCCTCGGGGATGGTGCTCATGACTGACGATAAGGGTCTCTCTCCATTCCCCTCACCCTTCACCACTCCTTCTTCCAATAGTCTCGCTTGCAAATTGCTAAATATACAAAAATGTAAACCTCAAAAATCAATTTTCATTTCATAATGTAATTGGTAGTTACATCAATGGCAGTTTCTGGAGTCCTTTTAATAATGACAATACCGGAGTCTTATATAGCGCACGTATCTACCAACAATTAGGTACTCAAGGCGCTGGAAATTACTTTCTAAAGACAGGTAAATGAAATTTTTATGAGAAATATGAGACCCATTATGTACAAGGTGCTGTGGCGCATACTACAGCCACAGCCAGAAACAACGGGGCAAACCTCTTCTCTTTGCGATAAGTGTTACTGGGTTCTTTAACGTGCATAACACAACAAACAGGACCTATGGCTTTATGTCCCATCCGAAGGACGAAGCAATAATGGTAAAGTACCTTGCTCAAGAGCACAAGGACCATGTTCCTCATCAGGATTTGAGCTTGGTACCACGGCACACGAGTCGAACATCATAACCATTGGACCACAGCCCCCCCCCCCCTTTTTGTTTATAATATACGGGGGAAAATATAAGAAACATCTGCCTGTAGTGGACAATAGGGCATTCCACTTGAATTTCAATGTCTTTTGTAATCTGCCCGCCAAAAATCACTAACTAAAACGACCATCATCCAAAACTTGTTTGAAAATGTTGGGAATCTTTTGGGTGAAGTAACATTACAGTGTTGTACTAACCTGTGAATTGCACTGGCTCCCAGTGGCAGGGCCTGGACACCCTTAATAATGGGCACACCTTCATAGACCTGCACATCATTACAGTCAAGGAAAATTGTGTCTGAATTCGTTTGAGTGCATTCGTTGAATATTAATCACAGAGCAGTCGCATTTAATTACCAGACAACACGACGGACAAGCAAGACAGTGGCTGAACTTTGCGATGTGTAATACTATCAAAGCTGCCAGAAAGAGGAGACTCATGCAGCAGTCACTCTTCATACACAGTTTAGGCCCCCCCAAAAAGTCTCCGGTTTCTGGTATGCGCGCGCGTCGCCGTAGCCATGCGGCAAAATGAAAAAAAAAATTTCAATAAAAAATGATGTATCAAAACTGCCAAACTCACTGGTTTGACTGGAATCCTGCTGCTGCACAATTTTAACGTGTTTTTAGATGGGGTTATGATTGAGAATAAGCTTAATGTGGCCTCTCTGGACTCCCATATATTTGCACTAAGTTTAGACGGGCACCATTTGCAGTCATCAGCCGACACTTGAAGCAAAAAAAAACAGTTAAAAAAAAAAGCTGCATCGCCGCACCGCCTTTTGGGCAAGCTCCATACCAGAAACCGGGGACTTTTTTTTGGTGTTGCCTTATTGAGGAAGAGATCAGTCACGTTGTGTATTCTTCTTTCACTTCTTTTATCAAGTCGCGATGTAGGGGGCCTAACTGTCATAAATAGCCCTCGATCATGCCAAAGGCTGGTGGGAAATGACGGATGGTTTCAGACAGTTCTTGAAGCATACTCAGATAAAGGTTCAAGAAGACATTTCAAGTGTCAAAGGCCACATTCAGTTTCATTCTAGACACATGACTTACAATGCGAGATGGTCCATTTGCTTGAAAATGTTTCCTCATATCGTCGCGTCAGTGCAACAAGGTCGTATCTCCTAAAATGGCACGAACGACGCAAAACGCGAGTTTCAGAATGTCAAAAGGTCGAATCTCGCTTAAAATAACCCGGATGTACACGCAAAGTCAATGGACGTCGAGATACAAACATGTTGCACGAAGTGTATTCACGCAAGATACGACTTTGTTGCAGAATGGAGTTATGAATGCAAAACGCGAGTTTTAGAATGTCAAAAGGTTGTATCTCGATTAAAATAACCCGGATGTACACGCAAAGTCAATGGACGTCGAGATACGACCTTGTTGCACGGAGCGTATTCGTATTCATATTCGAGCGAATACTACTTTGCTGCAGAATGGAGTTACGACCTTGTTGCACTGACGCGACGATATGTGACAACGCATGCGCATTCCAAATACGCCTTTAGCCCAAGTTGGACTTGAATTTGATTTGGCGCGGTAAGCGCACAACGTTTGACACCATGCCGTGTAACTGCCATGCAGCACGACAGGCCAACAGGCCTACTACAAACCCTTCCATATTCTGATGGGTGAAGTCAGTAGTGGTGTGCATTTACAGGTAGTACAGGAACCGGGTACCCGATTGAAGTAAAACACGGGTACATAGGTACCCGTAAAAGAAACCACACCCAAAAATTCAAATCCCGGAAGTCGTCTGAAGGGCTTTATAGCTTTATGGTGTAAAGTGCAACTTTTGCTGGCATTATCTGTTGCGTGTTCAAATACACGTAAACCCGAAATCTGTTTTGGTTTTCCATGTAGCCTGGTTTTCATTTTGAAAATTCCCAACAAATGGCATTCAAAACCTTTCTCTTTCACTGTCTGTAAAGTTACTAAGTAATTTGTAAAGTTGGTTACAGGTACCCCATCCCGTAAATCTGGAACAACCGCAGGTTCCTGACATCAGCGGTCGGGTACTTGGGTACCCGGTTCAAATGCACAGCGCTACTGCTCAGTACATCATGATTCTTAGCAGACAGGGCTCTGGAGTGCTCTGAAATGTGCATAACTAAATCAGGTTCACTTTACTCACAGTTTAGCCAGCAAACTTCTCCAAAAATTCCACTGGGGCAAAGAAAATGTCCTCAGTATTTCACCAACGAAGTTTGCAGACTCAATTCAATTTTTAAAGGAGACTTTTCTGCACTTTTTGAACATGAGAGGGAAGTCAAGTGATTTCAAAATGGGTTTAAATACTAGACTGGTACATGTCCAACCATGGTCCAACTATTTGAAAAGACTGACCTCTTCATTCAGTGTCAATAGTCTGGTGGCTTGACTATGGAGAAATGTGTAGTAAATTGAGACTAGCTCCCGCTTCATGCCACATGTTTCTTAAATTCTTTTGGCATGGTCGATTGATGCAGTACTGAAGCCGTGTTGGACTGGTTGTTTTAGGTGCCAGTCTATTTTCTTGTTTTGCATGTTTTTAATACCCCAAGTTTTGGGACTCTCATACACAGTATTGAGAGTCCCAAATTTTCGGACTACATGTAGATTCTTAGTACTGCAAGTTCTGAAGGCTTTGTAGAGTAGAAGGATTAACAGATTCATTGTGTGACTTATGACAAAGGATATTGGTAGTACAATGGTTTCTGAGTAGCCAGAGTCTAGGACAAGCGCTGTGTCGACGCCGAGGGTGAAGAGTGCCAGGAGATGAGACGGAGCAAAGAGAATGGAAGGCACCTGCCGATAAAACAAACAAATGAACAGAATTTAACTTCCCAAATCTGCAAAAATCCAACATGGGGTTTTCTTTGATTCTGATGGATTCTGGACTGTAAAAGCAAACCTGCAGCATTACACAATTACTTTGTATCAGCAAACTGTGCTACAAAACTACAGAAATGAGAAATCTTAACTAAGAAATGAGGTGGCATAGTTTTCAAGCACTTAACTAACACACGCATACAAACTTACATACTAATCTGGTGACTAGCATGAGAAGCCAATTAATTTTGACACTGTACATGTACCACGACTGGGCCCGGTTCATGCATACTCAAGATCCCTTCGACCAACTAAGTGTTTTACAATTTGCCAAAAGTTAAATGTTTGTACATGTACCGGTATGTAAGAATGCATACAACCCGTATGCAAGCATGGTAATGTATCTCACTGCAGTACACTGCAATGTATCCTAACTGCAGTGTTGTATGGTAGGACTCAAGTTCAGGACTCAGACTGAGTCCATCTTGAGTCGCAATTTTGATAACTCAGACTCGACTCTAGTCATATCGGCAAAAGACAAGACCATAACTCAGACTTTATGCTAAGGACTCTAAACCCCAAGTCACATATTTTTTTTACCAAAAAAAGTACCTTTGAAAACATGTTTACTTTCCGAAAGTAATGTTAAATAGCGCCTAAGAACGTTGAGCACATGAACTGTACCGCTCTCCAGTTGATGTTGCAACTAGTAATGATTGTTATTAAAAAGCGCCCCTCCCTATTTCCTGCATCACTTACATCGCAAGCATGTGTGTCCATGTCAGTGCACATCCACTTTGTACAACTGTGACTTGGACTCGGACTTGAATCAAACAACTCGTGACTCAGACTCGGACTTGAGCCAAATCTTGTCTTGTTGTAACACTGCCCAACACCCCTAAATATAGGGGCCAACCGGGCAGGGTTCGGTGCGCTTGATGAAATTGCAGAGAAAAGATGAGTTATTTGTTTTGCTGGCTTAGGTAGTTGTGTACACTGCTTCCTTGAAGTTCTTCGTCTTGGATTGTAGTGATGGGTTCTGGTATAGCGTTCCAATCGACGATCGTGCGAGGGATGAATGCAAATTTATAACAGTTTTTATTGGTAGTGATGGGTATGAAGCTATTGGAAGCTGGTGATGTGTGTCTTAGATTATTCGACCGTTGTGTGTCTTAGATTCCTTTCGATCCATGACTCAAGCCTCAGATTCGGATTCAACCCAGTTGAGTCGAGACTCGGACTCACGTTCGACTCAAGTGACTCAACTGCAAACACTGCCTAATTGTGATCTCAAACCTTTTGGCCTCGTAAAACTACTATACCTCATAGTGCTTGAAGAGAACTCTGGCCAGAGTTTCCCTGAACTGCGATGGACAGAGCACAGATTCAACGATGACCAGTCGTCTGTCTCTGGGATTTACCAGCAAGTGCCTGCAAATCATAGTAAAATGAAACTTGCTCCGTCATTTTGAATGATTAAAATAATCACAACGTTTTCAAATTTACAGCAGCAAATGGATGCTGTAGATAAACAATAACAGAAAAGGTTCAAACACACAAAGTGTGGGAGCAGTAATTATTAACCCTAACCTTCCCAAATAATCCGAAATCCTCTTTTCAAAAGGAGGATTTTGCAGGATTGAGGCTTTATGGCAAAAATATGTGGCTGATTTCGGGGGATGTTCTGTGTCTAGGCTATGGGCCGGACATTGTGTTCTTCATGCTCAGCCGTGCATAAATTTGGGCCTAGATTATGCTTGAAATTCTCCGCACTGCTCCAGGATGTCACTGGCTCTGCCTCAACATATTGACAGTGACTGCTGGCGGATTTTGCAGGATTGGGGCAGTGGTCACCCCTCCAAGGACCACATTCAAGAAATAACGGAGGATTTTGCAGGATTGAGGCCGAGACTGTTTGAGGATTTTGCAGAACTGAGGTTGCATCCTAGCAAAAATGCCTAGGGAGTTAGGGTTACGAAGAAAGTTTGATGTTCAAACTGTGCCTGCGTAAACTAAGATTTGATAAACAATTCACCATTCTTAAAATCCCGGGGATCCTGAAAAGTTGAAGAAAGGTTCTTGCTCTGATTTTAAGTATATGTACATGTACATATGTGTAGAAGTACACATACAAAATTCCACAATCTCTAGACTAAACCAAGTTTTACAGCAGTTTTGGCCCCCCTCCCCCCCAAAATAGTCGGTCTCTGGTCAGACCAAAGTTCCAGAATGATGCGGCGATGTATTTTTTTTCTTCTTCAAGCTTGGATTGTACTGACAAGGTGGGTACTGCTTTGTTTGCGTCCTCATACACCTTGGCATCCTCCATCATTTGCATTGATGCCCTCCATCATTTGGAGTCGAGCTGCCCGCGAAAATTTGAGGTGGGGCGACAATAGAGGGCGCTGTTATAGCTACTGCCAAAAAAAAATTGACGTGCATGTCAAAAACGACGCACGTGCTGTCCAAAGATGGAAAGGTTTTGTGTTTGATCTGACAGAGATGGTTTTTTCTGGTTTTTGTTATTTGGTCCAATTTTCATATTTATAATTGCAGATTCTGTTACCATTATCTCCACAGACTTACAGGCATTTTTCTACTGAGTTTATCCCAGAGTGTAATAATCGTTAAAGGTTAATGTGCAAATGTGCTGCTGAGGGTGCGTACATTGTACAATGTACATGTACTTGTGTCAGCAGAAATGTACAGTGCAGTGTTACTCACCGGAAGTACACCACATGGAGAAAGTCCACCAAGACATCATACAGCTCCTCCGAGTTGGAGAAGTCCCATACTTTGACTAATGTACCAGAGCGTGGCTGCTTCACAGAAGAAGCGATGATCGCACGTGGCCCTGTTTCATTGGCAAAACCAATTCTAGGAAAAAAGGCAAACATGATAGCAAAACATTAGTGTAAAGCCATTATAATCCAGGGATTGCAACCAAATTACTATATTCCTGGTTAGCTGGAAACTGCCAGCGTACTAGGCTCATGACATGGGGAGATTTGCCAGTAACCATGATAACTGGCTAATCTCCCTGGTGCCATGTCATGAGTCTAGCACGCTGGAAATTTCATGCTAATTCCTGGTTATTCATCAGGAACATAGCCTCATAAATGTTGCCAATTTACTGGACTGTCTCTGTGTAATTTCGTATTGGAATTTAGATCCCATGGGTGGGGCAGCCCGGGGAGAGGTGGGGGAAACAATGATACTTGATAGACATGATAGGCATGATATAGGCGCATAACGAATTAGGACATGAATGAATGTGCTTGCCTACAATCAATTTGAAATAGATCTAAGGATTCTTACTTTGTATAGGCAGCGCCGATATCAAGCACAACCGTGGTTTTTTCAACTGCTGAACCTAAACCTTCGAAAAATGACATCCTGTCTTTAAAAGATCATGCTTTTTCGTCCGTTCTGATTTGCTACACAGCATGTACATGTCATGCATGTACATGTATCACTATCAGTACTCAGAACAGCATTTATGCATTGTACAGTGCTCACTGAAGCTGCATCAACTATTGAGGGCGCCCTTTACTATTTACTATTAATGCGCTGCCGTTCAGTGCTGATGCCTAAAACCGAGCCACCGACCCTTGATCATGATTCCCAATCGAACAATTACACCGAAAAGTAGAAAAATTAACAAAACCTAAAAATCAGTGAGAAATATAAAGTCCGTTGAGTCTTTTCTTGGTCACACTGGAAGACAATTACAAGCCTTGAACTGGAAAACAATTACCTACCCTCAGGATGATTATTTTTTTCTTACCTTTGTTTATACTATAGTATAGGCCTTATTTTATGAGGAAAGGCGGTTCCTTGTTTTTTCTCCTTTATTAAGTGTAAAAACTAAGAAACAATTATGATAAATACAGTGCGCAGCGCGGGCAATTGGTATTTTTGGGAGACCCTTTCCCCTGTTTCTTTGTCACTGTCCACGCACAAACCCATTCGTTGAAAAATTAACAAACGTGGCGCCACGAAGATGAAGTGTTGTCCCTGAAGTTGGTGGATAAAAAGCTTATTTTGATCGGGTCGTATCATTTTTTAAATAAATTTCCCATAGAAACTAGTGCTTAATGCCCATACCCAGTAAACATTTGGGATGTGGGCCAGAACTGGCCCAGTACTGTTGAGCCGGTACAACGCACCGAGTTTTATGGTGTCTATATTTTCCGCTATTTGGGGGCGCCATTCAAATCGGGAACTATTGGACACAAGACTTTCGCACTCCGTTTAAGGGGCATTCCTGTGGAAAAGTTCGCTCGTGGAACTTATGTGAATTTTTAGATTTACCTGCGATCATTTGGGGGACAATGTATTGGTGCATGCTAGCTGACCGAGCATAGATTTCATTTTCAAAAGCGTTGATTGCACTAGCTGCTGGCCGAGTTTTGAGTTCCACTACGTATAGATTTCTGGATTTTACCGGAGATTTGGGGACATTTTCAGTAGCCGACCGAGTTTTAAGGGAGGCGGTGGACACCATCTTTCTGTGGAGGCGCCCTTCAAACAGAACAGTAGATACTTTTAGATGCCACTTTCTGCATCTGGCGGCACAATTAATTAAGACGTTCGCGCCATGTTATAAACTTATAGGGGCACTCATTAAAATGACAAAGGTCGCTCGTGAAAAAAAAGGAATAAACGTAGACAATTCCTTGCGAGTTGGTGCTAACTGGCCGAGTTAAAGGTCAAGAATTGGATTTGTGCAATTTACTGCGATTATTGGGACATTTGGCACAAACTAGCCGAGTTTTTAGTTAAAGAACATGAATTTCTAGATTTGTTTGCGATTTCTGGGACATTTCCACTCGCTGGACATTATTGTAAGGTGAAAAAATAAAAACGTGGATTTACTTAAAAAAATATAAAAAAAAATCGCGATCTGGTGGATTGGCAATCCGGCTGGACGATGTTTTTTTTTTTTATTATTTAAGAGCGTTGATTTGTATATTTTGTAAGTTGCCTGCGATTTGGACCAAATTGGCTCTAGTTGGCCGAGTATTGATTTCAGTTTCAAGAACGTAGATAGATTGATAGAGTTGTCCGCCATTTGGGGGGGGGGGGGGTGGAACTAGATGGCCGATAAGTTTTAGGTCAAGAAATAAGAACGTGGATGTATATTTTATTCGCGATTTGGTGGATTAGCACTAGCTAGTCCAGTTTTCAATTTCAGAGCGTGGATTTCTAGATTTTTTCCGCGATTTTTTGAACATTGGCACTAGATGGCCAATTTTGTAGTTCGGCCAATTTTGTTGTTGATCAGTTTGTCTGCGATTTTATTTATTTTTTGGGGTGGGGGGCACTGCGGTTGGACGAGTTTTTTTTTTTTTTATTCCAGAGCGTGCATTTCTATATTTTGGAAATTTGTCCGCGATTTGGAGGACCAAACTATAGTTTGCCGAGAATTGATTTCAGTTTCACGAGCTGGAAAAGCTTTTGTTCAAGAGGGTATATATATATATTGTGTGTGAGTTGTCCGAGATTTGGAGGACAAAATTTGCACTAGCTGGCCAAGTTGAGTTACAAGGCGTTAATTTCTAGATTTTCTAGAACTAGCTGGCCGATTTTTAGGACAAGATAAAGAACGATGATTTATAGATTTGCTGGATACAATTTGTCGGCGATTCGCGGCACTAGAGCATGGCCGAGTTTCGAGTTCAGTAGGTTACGTGGATTTCTAGATTTTGTTGGCGTTTTGGAGACAAAATTGGCACTAGCTGGCAGAGTTTTGAGGCAGGAATGGACATCATGTGTCTTTCGGAGCGTGCTCCAAGAGCGTAGATTCAAAGATTTATCTTTGGTCCAGTTTTCAGGTTTCAGGAACTCGGATTTATAGATTTCCGCGATTTGGGGTACATTGACCCAAACGGCCAATTTGTAGTTCGGGGACGTGGACTTATAAAGTTTGTCCCGGATTTTGGGATTTTTTGGCCACATGGCTGGACGAGTTTTGAGTTAAAGAACTTGAATTTCTGGATTTGTCTGCTATTTCTGGGACATTTTCACTGCTTGGCCGAGTTTTAGTGCAAGGTTAAAATTGTGGATTAATACATATATTTTTCGCGATTTGGTGGATTAGCACCGGCTGGTCAAGTTTTCAGTTTCAGAGCGTGGATTCTAGATTTCTGCGCGATTTGGTGAACATTGGCACAAGATGGCCTTTTTGGGGTCGAGGACGTGGATTTATGAGTTTTATGAGTCCGTGTGTTTTTTTTTGGGGGGGGGGCCACTGGCTGGACGAGTTTTTTGTTCAAGAGCGTTGATTTCTAATTATTTTGTAAGCTGTCCGCGCTTTGGAGGACAGAATTGGCAGTAGCTGGCTGAGTAGATTTGAAGTAGCCCTGCGTCAATTTCCATATTCTGTGCTCAATTTCAAGGAAATTGACAGTAAATGGTGAGGTTTTTTTTTAAGGGAAGGACACCATCATTTTGTGGGGCGCCCTTCAAATTGGGCATTATGCCGCTTTATGACGGCCATGCAAAACTAATTCAAGACGTTCGCGCTACGTTATAAAGGGGCGCACTCATAAAAAAAGGCCGCACGTGTAGAGTTTTTAGATTTCTCCGCGATTTGGGGGACAAAGTTATTGGTTCTCAAAGCCGAGTATTGATTTCATGTTCAAGATATCAACGTCAATGTAAAGATTTCTGCTCGATTTGGCAACAAAATTGGTACTAGCTGGCCGAGTTTTGAGTTTAACAACATTTTCTAGAGTTTGTCCGCGATTTCTGGGACATTTCCACTAACTGGCCATTTTTTAGGTCAAGATTAAAGACGTGTGGATTCATACTGTTTTTGGATAGCGGTATGAACGAGCTGGTCGAGTCGAGTATGCACTACCTTAATTTCTACATTTTGTGCGCGATATGCGCGAACTCAACACTGGCGATTTTTTTTTGGGGGGGGGGGAGACACCATCTTTCTGTGGGGGCGCCCTTCAAACCGGACACTATCAGACAGGAGCACGTTTTGGCGCTGTGACCGTAAACATGTTTCTGGTTTGCGGCCGTTTTGGCGCTTCGGTTACACTGAAATGACGTCATTGTTTCGACCAAAATTGAACCGAGGTTTCCGGTCGGTTCACTTATGTTTCAAGATGGCAGAAAGGTAAACAAGCTTAGCAGACGACGTTACTTTTTACCATAAATGGGGTTTAAATAGTGGGTTTTACCTTCAATTGGTACGAAAGTTGATACAGAATATCAGGCCTACTCTTTTTAGAACTTAAGGGAAACGCTATAAAAAAAACTCCCACTTTTGCTTTGAATGTTATTGTTAATCATATCCAGTCGCCGCGTGATTTTTTTTTTGGGTTGTACGTGTGCAGTGCGGTAGGTAGTAACATGACGTCATGAACGATTTTCCGGTCAGTCGTTTTCGCGGTGCACAGGAAACATGTTTCAGGTCACGGCTGTGACGCCAGAAACATGTTCCAGTTCAAGGGCCGCCAAAACGTGCTCCTGCTCGATGCCGCTTTATGGCGGCACCCCATATTAAGGGAATAAATGTGTGTTCCGGAGGTTTTTATCACTCTGTTTAATACCACTTAGAGTCTGGGTGCTGATAATTACCCGAGCCGGAGGCGAGGGTAATTATCAGCACCCAGACTCTAAGTGGTATTAAACAGAGTGATAAATACCGACGGAGTACATATTTATTCCCATTCATAAATACCTTTTCGGTAAAAAAAAAATCATATAATTCGTTCAAAACATCCCGATTTTGTTCAACAAATTCACTTTATGCTTTTTGAATCATCCCTCCTGCAAAATAATGGAGTGTTCAGCTGGCGAGTAAGATGAAAACAACCCTTTTATGGAGATTGACGCGCGCGTATCATGTTCTATGCGATGTCGCGCAGAACGCACCTGGCGCGTTGCGTTTTGAATTTAGAACTAAAAAAATTCTAACTCCCTGGTAGTGTTGCGCATGCCTACGTGAGGATTGTGAACGTTCAACCAATGAAACGATAAGAGGCACTGGATTTTTAGGAGTCCACATTTTATTGTGACACTGGAAAAGTGTTTAAGACCAGCTAGCCATGTCTTTATCATCCGTTTAATACCGGCCACGTGACGGGCTCTCGACCAATAGGAATGGCTTAACTGTCTGAGGTATTTATGAATAAAGATTAAATCTAAATACCTCAGACAGTTTAGCTATATATTGGTCAAGAGCCCGTCACGTGGCCGGTCTTAAACGGATGATAAAGACATGGCTAGCTGGTCTTAAACACTTTTTCAGTGTCACATAAAATGTGGACTCCTAAAAATCCAGTGCCTCTTACCGTTTTATTGGTTGAACGTTCACAATTCTCACGTAGGCATGCGCAACACTACCAGCGAGTCAGAATTTTATAGTTCTAAATTCAAAACGCAACGCCCCAGGTGCGTTCTGCGCGACATCGCGCAGAACATGCTACGCGCGCGTCAATTTCCATAAAAGGGTTGTTTACATCTTAC